ACACCATGAAGGGTTGGAAAGCCAAGATGTGTGGCATGAGAAATACTTGCTGCAGACACAGGGCGTGAGAGATGAGCAGCAGAACATCCAGCAGGACTAGCCCTCCCCCTGAGGGCACACGCACAGTGGCTCACTGTCACATCGAGGCTGTAGAGAGAGCCCAGTGCCATGGGAAAGCATGCCAGGTGGGTCCCTGTGTGCTGCGCATACCTGTGGAGGGTGTTGGCAGCAAGAGCAGAGTCCTTCAGTTTGTCTTCTGACTTCTTTCCTACAAGTCGGCCAAGCTTGCCATTTACTGTTGTTACGATTTTCCATGATAGCATGGTACTTACTGCCAGAGACTTAATCCGTATGGATACAAGTTAGCTGTCAGAACTAGAATTCAGAATAATGATTCTAAAGAGACTACCTGGGCTTGAGAAAATCACAGAAGACACAAGAGAATCCTTTCTGGAGAAATAAAATAACTAAAATCTAACCATTTGCATGTCTTCCTTGGAGACTCAGACTCCTGGATCAGGAAGGGAGAATTTGAGAGACAAGGAGTACCATCAAGCAAAACCATGTTAGACTAACTGGGATCTGAGAGGAAGAGGAGAGAGTGAGGGGAGCAGGAGGGATATTTAAGCCAATTGTAGCTGAGCACTTCCCTGATCTGGGGAAGGAAACAGGCATCCAAGTCCAGGCATGGAGATCTCCTTCAAAATCAATAAGGAGGCAAACACCTCAACATAGGACCTTGAAGCTTGCAAATGTCAGAGACAAAGAGAAATTTGTAAATCTATAGGCCCCCCACATTGGGCGCAGCCAATTAGATCAACCAATGAATAACAAAATTAAAGAAAGAATTGGTAATATCCAATGATCATAGGGGATTGAAGAGCCCACTCACGGCAATGGAGAGATCATCTAAGCAGAAGATCAACAAGGAAACAGGGCTGTGAATGACACCCTGGAGAAGAGGGACTTCACAGAGAGAGTCAGACCATTCCATCCTAAAGCAACAGAAGACACATTCTTCTCCAGTGCACTTGGAACATTCTCCAGAATAGGCCCCCTACCGGGTCACAAACCAGGTCTCTGCATGGCCAGAAGTTTGTGATTACCCTCTGTATCTTCTCCGACCACAGCACTTTGAAATTTGAACTGAGCCGTAAGAGAAAATGCGGAAGGGACACAAAAAGGTCGGAGGTTGAAGAGAATCCTAGTAAAGAACGAATGGATGAAGCCGAAAATGAACGAAGCACAAAAAAATTTATGGAGACCAATGAAAATGAAAACACAACTCTCCCAAACGCTTGGGGTGCAGCAAAGGCAGTCCTCAGAGGGAAGCGCAGACCCATGCAAGGCTATTGGAAGGAACAAGAAAACTCTGAAATACACAACCTCCCCATCCACCTAAAGGAGCCAGAGAAAGAACAGCAACTAAAGCTGAACTCCAGCAGGAGAAGAGCAGGAAAATGGGCTGGAAGAATGAATCAGTAGGTTGACCCCAACTCCCCTGCCAAAAAAAAAAAAAAAAAAAACAACAACAACAACAAAAAAAACAAAACCAGTTCAACAGATCAACAAAACGAAGAGCTGATTCTTGGAAGGATTCATAAGATCAGTAAAACCGTAGCCAGATGTATCAAAAAGGAAAGAAGACCCAAATTGGTAAAGTCGTGATTGAAAGACATGAATTCACAACCAACATCACAGAAATACAAGCAATTCTAAGAACATATGATGAGCAACAATAGGCCAACAATTAGGCATCTGGAAGAAATGGACGCATCCCTAGAAACATAGAAACGACCAAATCTGAAACCAAAACAGAAAGAGAAAACCTGAATAGACCCACCACCACAACAAAGAAAAATTGAAACTAGTGATCAAAACTCTCCCAGCAAACAAGAGTACAGCACTGGACAGGTCAGCGCCCTGGGGCTCAATTGCCCATTGGCCCCTGCCAATCTCCCCCGGAACTCTGGTCTCCACTGGTCAGCCCCACGTGAAATTCTAACCCACATGAAGAATTGATCCTTATTCTTCGGAAGCTGTTCCAAACCATCGGAATGGATGACAATCTCACAATGAATTCTCTAAGGTCCCTTGTTCCCACAGATTTTCGGTCACACAGGTTTGCATTCCAAGGGGAGCAAAGGCTATTCTGCAGGTTGTGAACCGTGGAGAAAGGGTGCCCTGCGTGCGTCCTTCCACAAGTCGCTTTTTCTCAGCACACTGAGAAAAGGGCTCGCAAGAGAGAAAGGCAAAAAGAAAGGAGACAGCATGTGGCAAGATGAGGAAAGAGAGGAAATCACTGCAGTGCATGAACACATGAAAAGAGGAAGAAGGGAAACAGCAAACTACTCGACACACATAAACGGGACCACGCCACTGACATGGAGTAATCCTTCAAAGCCACACACTTGCAATCACCGCCAAGAGGCAAGAGATAACTAGAACTGTCCTTATGGTGTGTGTGTGTGTGTGCCCGCGTGCACACGTGTGTGTCCACATCTTCTAGGAATTCACTCAGTGCTCACTGGCACCGACAGTGTGGCCCCCCACGAACTCAATTCTGACTATACCTGCCTGAGGAGAGCTTCATGAAGGACCCTGGCCCGGAAGACAGCCCCCAGTTGAGACAGCAATCCGGCTGCCTCCCGTGCTGCTGCTGACCACAGAAGAATCGGAGGTCCCCACAACCCCCTCCTCCGGGTCCATTCATTTGCGGGAGCGGCTCGCAGAAGGGGCGAGACCAGCTGACGGAGTCGATGACGGGCATCGTCCGCAGGATGCTCCAGGAAAGGAGTGAACCGCCAGGTCCAGAGATGCAGACGGGGAGGCCGGCAAGGGTCCCTGTTCCCTTGCGCCTCACGGGGCTTGGGGCCCAGGGGCCCAGCGTGTGGTTCACCCACTGGGAAGCCCCCTGAGCACCCCTCCTCCTGAGTTTTCTGGAGGCTGCGACCCTCCATGAGAGTTGACCTGGGACGTCCATGGTGTGTCCCTCCCTGGCACCCGAGACTGGGGATCGAGCCGCTGAGGGGAATGAAGGTGGGCCCTGAGAGCCTGTGCAAGGGGTCAGAGATTTCCGGGAAGGAGGTGAAGCCGGCCGGGGGAAGCAGCACAGTACCGTGAGTTCCGGCCTTCGGGAGCAGCGCAGCAGCCCTAGGAAAGGCCGTCCCCCCGCAGAGACAAGCAGGGCGGGCTGAGCCGGAGCGTCTGCACACGCGTGTGACCATCACACCACAGGCTGGAGAGGCGCCGGGGGCTCCGGGGGCCCTCGGGGCTTTTGCACACAGACTCACGGACCCTGCAGAGGGAGCGGCAGCAGACACAAAGGCTGACCAGCTAGAAACCACGAAAGATTTTCTTTCTTTCTTCGGCAGAGAGAGCGAGCAAGGGAGGGGAAGGTTCAGAGGGACAAGAAGACTCCCCTCTGAGCAGGGAGCCCAAAGCGGGGTTCGATCCTGGGACTCCAGGACCATGACCTGAGCTGAAGGCAGACGTTTCACTGACAGAGCCCCCCAGGGACTCCAAATCCTGCTGTCCAGTTGTGTCATCACGAGAACGAGGTTCAGAGCCCTTGGCTGTGGATCGGCCCATGGCTCGATCTCCTTTTGGCTTCCAAAGGGCAAGTAGAAAGGGGTCAGCAGATATGGTGTGACGGGAGACAGTCACCCCTAACAGCCTGGATCCTAGTCAACACCACGCTGAGGCTCAGGAATCAGGGTGAGAGTCGTGAGTGACGTCTCCCTGCCTGCGCCCTGTTTAGGGAAACCCACGGGCCCCAAACGGGGTCACTTGGGCTGGGTCCCGTCAGCACCCTGGGGCTCAGTCGCCCGTTGACCTCTTCGAAGCTCCCCCAGAAGGGGGGTCAGCCCCACGGAGGTCATCCCTCCCACGGCCGCTCTCCATCCCCAGAGGAAGATGGGCTGGTCCCCCTACTAAGTCCCTTTTGTCCCCAAACGAAGGTGACCTCACTCCAAATCCTCTTTTTCTGTGTATGACGACCGTGTCCTGCTGCTACACACCTTCCTCAGCCCTTGCCCTTTGCAGCCCTCCTCCCCCCAGGAGACTGGAGGCCGCCCAGTCAGGAACGGTGTCCGAAGCCCCTTAGAGCTTCAGATCACCTCGTTGGATGCTTGGGGAAACAGCAAGACCCTCCTAAGAAAAGTGCCCCCTTTCCAACAACGTCCCGCCCGTGTTAACACATCCAGATTCACTGGAAACTTTATGTCGTTTGAAAAACGAGGTTTAGTGTGGTCTGGACTTTCTAGAAATTACCAGTAAGAATAGTGTCACCGAGAACGAGTGAAACAACGCAGGTCCCACAAGGCCGCCCTCACAAACGCACAGGCTGGCTTTGCGTTTGACCACAATGACACTTTATTGAACTTTCCAGCAGTCAACAGGGGCTCAGAACCAAGGGTGCCAGCCTTCCCCTGGGGACAGAGAACTGCTTCTCCTTCAGGGGAAGGGGGAAATCCCACGGAGGCTCGGGGCTAGCATCCCCCACTTGGTGCCTGTGCTGACTGCGGGTGTCGGCACGTTTCCCGAGCTTGGGGTCTCGAGAGGCAGGTGCTAGGACGCGGACCTGAACCGGGGTGCAGCATCGGGGTTCCCGGACAGGGTCCCGACACGTCTGCCTGGCCTCGGCCACTGCCCCATGGCTGCCAGGTGACCGCTGGAGACCCGGGCTCTGGTGGCCCCTGCCTCCTCCTGTAGAGGAGGGGAGGGCGGGGCCCACCAGCCCGTCCCTGCTGCGCCCAGGCTGGGGTGACCTTTGGTCCCCAGCGCTGCCCTAGGCGGGAGTCGTGCACCCATGGGGCACGCCCAGGCCCCAGGTGGACACAGAGAATTCTCCGTGGACTTGACCAGCTTTGGGTCAGAACTCAGGACTGGCCAAGTCCATGGGGCCTCAGAATCATCAGTTCACCTTCTGGTCATTGTTGGGGGGAAGCTCGTGTCGTCTCTGCTCCCCCGGGCCTGGTGTCAGGCCAGTGGAGGTCACTCTAGGTCAGTGACTTGTACCTCCTGGTGGGGGTGCCATCTTCTACAAAGTCCAGAGTGAGAAGGCAGGGCACCGTGCTGGCTGCCCAGAGCCTCTTGGCCCCCACGTTCTTCTCCAGAGGCCTAGGGGAATCGACGTTCCCCGTCGAGGAGCCGGTCAGCGGGGCCCGGGCAGGTGCGGGGCCCTGGTGCTGCGGGCTCAGAGCTGGCCCGCTGGTGTCTCGGCTGGGCCGGTCCAAGCCCACACAGGGCCAGGAGCTGCAGAGGCCCCAGGTCAGGAAGGGTGTCCTGGACCCTACAGCCTCCTCCTTCCTGGGCTGGGGGGACCTTGTCCCAGGAGACCCTGAGATGTTTTGGGGCCAGGTCTGGGGTGTGGCCACAGGGGTGGCCCCGGCAGGGGCTGAAGGGAAAGGGACCCACGGTTGTGGCCTCAAGGCCATGTCCTCGGGCCCCCTGCATGCACCCCCCTGGTGTCCTGGGAGGTTGGGGAGGGAACTGCATCGCTGTGGGGGCAGCCGCGACAGAACCAGGGTCCCAGGGGCTTCCGGCCGTAGGGGTGCAGCCAAGGGCCGCGTCGACCTTCCCTCCCGCAGCGGCTGCTGGGCCTTGAGCACGGCCTGGCAGGGAAGGGGTCCCGGCTGCTCAGCGTGTGCGGCTGGGCCTGGGGAGGCCAGCCCGTCCGCTCCGGAGAACATCTCCAGGGTAGGAGAAGGGAGGAGGGCCGTTGGTGCTGGGGACACCTGGTCCTGGCCCAGGGGCATCTTGGGGAACTCCTCAGGGCCGGCTGCAAAGAGACAGACTGGGTTAGCGTCTCCAGCAGGCTGCTTGCGCCCAGCCGGCTGGGCCCCCAGGGTGTGCTCCTGGAGGCCTGCGTGTCCACCCTGGCCTGCCCCTCACACCTGATCCAGGCCGCGGATACCCTGCCCCCACAGGGAGCGCCCCAATGCCCGGGCCGGGCCTGGGTTCCCCAAGGTTGGAGCAGAAGAACAGAGGGACAGAGACACAGAGGAAGGCCCCCGGGGACTGGGTCCACTGTGAGCTGCCCCAGGAGGGCGAGGCGGGAGGCAATGGGGACCGGAGCCCACCTGGCGGGGGCAGGTCGCACTTCCTCCATCGGAGATGGGCCATGGAGGCCTGAAGGTGTTTGAGGACGGCCTCATCCTCCAGGGCCCAGGGCTGGGCCAGGGTGTCTTGAAGGAAGCCCTGCAGCCCTTCCAGGGGCAGCTTCAGGAGGTGTTCTGGGCAATGGGTGTGAGTCAGAGCAGAGGGGCACCTCCCCACCGTCCCAGAATCCTGCCCGGGGACAGCGGTTGGGCGTCCCGCTGTTCCCAGGAGCACCCCAGGCAGAGCCGCGCAGGAGAGGCCCCGTGCCCGCTGCTCCTCTGCAGGGGTCCCCCAAGCCACCGGCCGGCCTATGACCCTCCACCAAGGCCTGCCTGCTCCTCGCTCCTGGGAGCAGTGGGCCATCTCCCAGGCCCCCCACACGTGCATGGGGCACCCCTGGGCTCCCTCGGGGTCCCTTACTGCGGTACAGCCTGAGGACGGTGTAGGCCATAGCTGTGAGGACGCGCTCTCCGTCCAGCATGTAGGCGTCCCACAGCTTCAGGGTGAGCGCGAAGGGGGTCTGTGGGGGAGCGGGTGTGGGAGGAGCCGCCTCAGGGAGGCCCAGGGGCTCTCTGCCTGTGCGAAGGCCTCCCCTCTGCCCAGGCCCTGCCGCCCCCCCGGCTGCGTCGGACGGGGCTCTGCAGCCCGTCCGGTGGGTGCCCTCCTGCTGGGGAAGATGGGCTCCAGACGACCTTGGGCGGGAAACGCCCGGCCAGTACGACCCGCAGACCTGGGGGGCCACAGACTCTGCCCCACCCTTGGTGCCCACATGACCCGACAGGACTCCAGGCTGGTCGCAGAATGGGCCGAGGGCCTGTCTGCCCCCAGGCTGACGTGGCCTTCCTGGGGAGGCGGAGACGGACAGGGCCCATCCCGGAACCTCCTCCAGGGGCCCCGTTCCAGTCTCCAGGACGGGTACAGACCGTGAGCCTCAAGTCAGGGCCTCGGGGTCGGGCCTGGCTGGTCTGGAGCGTGAGGCTGAGCTCGGGCTTCCCCTGGGCCCAGGGCCGGGTGCAGGTCAGGGACCGGGTCTGCCGGGGGAGCCTTACCCGGCCGATGAAACATTGGAGAAACCACTTGGTGGTGTACACCCCTGCGCTCATCCCTTGCTCATCCTGGCGGAAGGACACAGGTGCTTGTGTCCCAGCCGGCGGCCACCGCTTCCCTGGGCCCAGGCCCCGTGCAGCCAGGTGGACAGACTCCCTGCGGCCCCCCTCAGCCCCGAGGGCGCCCTGGGCCCAGCAGGAGACGGAGCTGGACACCGGGCTCTGGGCAGCGTGGGCAGGGTTCTGCGGGTCCCCTCCCCCTGCCCCGGGCCGTGAGGGCTGGGCCTCCGGGGAGCGTCTACTCACCAGGTGTTTCTTCAGGCCTTTGAGCTCCTTCTCCATGATGTCGTCATGATGCCGCTGGAAACGGGCCAGCTTTGGGAATCCCGGAGCAAAGAACCCTGAGAAGGCCCCAGGTGCCCCCACCATCAGGGCCATGTCCCCCACCAGGTGGGGGGTGAGTCTGCCAGGGGCTCCGCTCCCAGGCCCTGACTGGAGCGTGTGCCCACAGCCCTCCCAGCCCTGGCTGCGCCCGTTCGTCCGTGACAACAGCAGAGCCGTCCGGGCCTGGGGGCCGGGCCAGAGGTCCCTCCTCCTCACAGAGACCCAGCTGAGTGGGTGGCCGGGCTGAGCACCAGGCCCGTCGGACCCGGCACACTTCCTGCGGTGGTTGCGGCAGGGGCAAGTGGGTCACCTGCCCTGAGGGGCAGGACGAGCCTCCCACGGGAAGGGTGATGGGGATGTGCAGGCCCAACTCCTGGGCTTGGGTGCTGGGCTGAGGGTCCAGGGAGCGGGACATGCCACCGCCTAGGCTTCTTCTGGCCGTGGGCTGCCAGGGGGACCCGGCGGGCAAGCCGGCTGCCAGACAGGGGGCTGAAGGCCCCGTGGGAAGGCGAGAAAGGTCTGCAAATGCTGGGGCCAGTCACCATGGCTACAGCCGCCTTGAGAAGGCCATGCCCTTTGCCGGTGGGGAGGCGGGCTGGCTGGGGGTCCTGGCCTGCCCCACTGCGGTGGCTGCCCTGCAGAGAAGGAGTCCTGAGTTCCACGTCCCGCCCAGGCACCCTGCAGGCCCCCTACCGTGCATGGCATGGGTCTCCAAGGTCATCAGCTGTGCCAGGGCCCAGAAGGCATCTTCCTCACACAGGAACATCAGGAGGATTGCCACCATGTCACTCATCCCCTGACAGTAGCCCACCTCCTGCAAGAGCCAGACCCCATGGAACAGGCCACCTCGTTGTGGGGAGGTCAGGACAAGGGGAACTGCCCTCCCCCTCCCCAGGTCCCGATCCTCCCACGGGCTCTTCAGGACCCAGCCCCGAGCGTTAGCACCACAGAGGTGCTGGCCAGAGCCCCCCGGCACCCAGTCCTCGGGGACTCAGGGGCCATCCCTCCCCCGCACTGAGGTCTGCACCCCAGCCCAGCCTCAGTCCTAGGGTCCAGGGCCCCTCCCTTGCGTCTCTGGGGCTATGAGAACTGGAGTCCCAACTAGGAGTCCCGCCCGCTCAGGCATCCTGGAGACAAAGGGCACCCGCGGGGCAGGAGGGCTTGCGGCAGGGACACTCACGGGGTTGTAGACCGAATAGGCCAGGAGGACATGGAACAGGGCTCGCTGCCTGGGGACGGGGAGAGCAGGGTGGGTGGCTCTTGTCTGACCAAGCCACATGGGAGCCCCCCCGAGGAGCAGAGTGCAGCCCCAGGGGACCCGCGGTCTTCGGCGAGGCTCGGGGCAGGACATGTGCCGTGTGGGATGCGGGTGGTGAGCACGGGACCTGGAGCGCTGCCGGGTGGCATTTGGGGGTTCATGGTCCTGGCTGCTGTTACAAAAGGTGTCCACCGTCGAAAACAGAATGCCAGTCCACGCAGAAACCCACCCAGCGGGCTGTCCCCTTGACCGTGTGCCCCTAGTTCTTCCATGTGTGTCCTCACCCGGCTGAGTCTGTGCTGCCTGGCCCCCAGCTCCACGTGGTGCCCCCTGCCACGACCCCACCCTCTGGCCCGGCCCCTCTCGTACCAGCTCCACGCCGACCTTATGGGTTCCACGCGCATGGCTTCCCCGCCAGGCCCTCCCCATCGAGGCAGCCCCGGGGGGTAGGTAGCGACCCCTGGGTCCTCCACCCACGTTCACCATGCAGCCGCACCATGTTTGCTGCCATCTTCCCCCTCTCCTCAGAGACCCCGCGTCCCCCACCCAGAAGCCCCCGGGTCGCGCCTGACCCCCCGAGGAACTCCCGTGCCCCCAGAGCCCCGCTTGTCCCCCAGCCTCACCCGATGCCATAGCGGTCCCGGAACATGATGTGGTTCCGGAAGGTGCGGTTCACGTCCAGGTCGACTTGCCGGATGTCCTTGGAGAAGACCTGGGCCTGCTCCTTCATTTTCTGGGGGCAGAACCGGGGAGGAGGAGCCGGCATCAGCACACGGAGCCCCAACGGCCAGCCACTGCCCCCGAGGCAGGGAGCGTCCCGAGCCGCCCTGGGCCGTGTCCTGCGGACACCTCCTTCCTTCCCTGGTCTCTGAGGCAGGGCCCCCGACAGGAGCCCATCGTGCCTGGGATGCCCGCGTCAGGGATCGTGCTCGGCAGGCCTGGGGGCCGAGGACACTCGCGAGGGTCAGCCCGAGGGTCTTCCCCTCCCCCGCACGGAGCCCTGTCCTCCAGGCCGGAGCTCCAGCCAGGGCCCTGACTAGCCTCTCCCCGCAGGGTGCCCTCGGCTCCTGTCCAGGCCTCCTCCAAGGGCCACGCCTCTGCGGAGGGCACAAGGGCTTACCTCGTACAGCCCCTGGTGGGTGGACTTGACCTTATCAATATCGAGCAGGATGGCCCACACCTGGCCCCTCACCTGGGGAGGGACCCCTTTATAGAGGCGCCGACGCATCTGCAGGAGAGAAGGCCGTGCTGGGACCCAGAACCAGGCCCTCCCTGCCCAGTCCCAGGAGCACCAGACATCCGGAAGCTTCCGGCTTTGGCTCTGTGGCATCCCCTGAGAGGCTGGGTCTCCCCGGAGCTGGGCCCCGTCTCCCACGAGGAGGAGGGCACTGGGGCCCTGACCTGTCGCTCCCTTTGCTGCCCACTTGGAAATGGGGAAATGGGGCTCTGCCAGCAGACTCGCCCCAGGCAGGGGCACCCCCGTAGGGTCAGGGCCGGGGGAGGCAGGGGTTTTACCCCCACCCCCGTTGGGGCAGATGCTGTCTGCGGACACGCGGCACCCACCTTCTCGCTGGGCCCATAGTGGTCCCAGTTTCTCAGCATTTTCGCCCACTTGTCGGCCCTGCGGGTCTCCTGGCGATGTTGCTGGAACAGGAGAAGGGGGCAGCGGATGAGCCGCGCGGAGCAGGAGAGCGGCCCATGGGCAGCGTCCAGGCGCCCTGCGGGCCGGGCCACCGTGGGAAGACACTGAGAGGAGCTGGAGAGGCACAGGGCCGCTCCGCTGACCGCGTCTCAGGGGCTCAGGCGCGTTCCCGGCCGCGTGCGGATTCCTGCGACAGGCGCTTTGGTGACATAGCCTTGGGGACAGCTTTGGGGACTGGGTCTGCCGTCCCCGGCCCCATGCCCACCCACCGTGTCCTGCCCGTGCCCCGGGACAGGCTCGTACCTTGGCCTCTCGGGGGCTGAGGCCGGACAGCTCCTTCTCCCTGGAAGGCAAGAGAAGCAGAGCCCTGAGCACCAGGCCCCGGCCCCACAGCCCGCAGGACCCGGCAGGGGAGGCCTGACCCCGGGGAGGACAGGGGCTGCCGGTTGCCTGTGGCTCAGGCGGGGCAGCAGCATCCCGCCTGGGGCGTGAGAAAGTGGTTGCTGCCAGGTGGGCTGGCGGGGGTCCCTCAGCTGTCCCCCGGGATTGACCTGCCCCTGTCCTGGGATGGGCCACTCCTAGACCCGTCAGTGCCACCTGGGTGCCCCTGTGACAAGCAGGCTGAGGACGCCACGGGCTTATGGGGCCTGCGTGCCCAGTGCCTGGCCTGCCTCTCCCTCACTGTGTCCCTCACCTTGCTGTGCCCTGACTCCACCCCTCTTGCTGGTCACGTCTGCCGCTCTGGCCCCTTGTCTTGTCAGAGCCGTGAGCACGACCCCGCCCTCCCACCCCTCTCCACGGCCACTGGTCACTGGGTGGCCAACAGGGTCTGCGACTTGGGAGCAGCGCGGCAAGCACACACGGAGTCTCCCGCCACGGTGAGGTCTCGAGTGGCCCCTCGGCCTAACAGCCTCCTTCCCTCATAGCAAGGTCACTGCGCCATCCCCTTCCTGGTTCCCCCCTCCAGGTCAGCCACCTGTCCCTGTTCCTGCCCCCCGCCTAGGTCGGTCGGCCCCTCCCTCTTCTGCCCATCACCCCTCCCTGACATGGCCTTCTTCCTGGCGTCGTCCTGCCATCCCCCAGAAGCCTTCGAGAGCTGTGGCGGGCCTGGCCTGGGGGTGTCCCCGAGGGTACCCCTTGGCCCTCACCCCCGACCAGACCACCCTCCCACAGAAAGGACGCCACCATCCCAGAGCCCCTCGCCCTCTGCAGTCCCAGCTGCACTGACTGGACCCACAGACAGAATGCAGGAGGCAGGCCCCGAGCCTCCCTGAAGCAGGCGTGGAGGCCCCTCGTTGGGGTGCCCAAGGGCCCGGCCCAAGGCCCAGCTCCATTGCTGCCACGATCTCGGTCTGCCGCCCGGGTTGCTCAGCTCCAGCCAGAGCAGAGTCTGGCCCTCAGAGGGCTCCAGGGGACGAGGCCCTGAGCTGGGGACATGAGTCCTGCCTCCAGAGAGAAGTTCCTGTCAACGCATTCCACCCCTGAACCGGACGGAGAAGGGCCCTGGGACTCACTGCAGGAAGCCGTGATGGTCCGTGAGCCTGCACAGCGAGAGGTCAGCCTCTTCCCGGGCGGCCCCTGGAGACCCCGCTGGGCGTGCCTGAAACAGAGAGGGTCCGTGATGGGGTCCCGTCCGAGCCGGGGGCAGGGGGAAAGGAGGGAGCAGAAGGGCTCCTCTCTCCCCTGCATCCTCAGGGAGCCCAGGACCTTCGGAAAAGGGCCCAGCATGAGAGGCAGGCCCTGTCGGCTCTGGGAGCAGCCTGACAGCCGCGCCTGGGTCTACCAGAGATGTCCCCTGCCTGGCTTCCCCCACTCCTAGGGCCAACCACACCCCCTTGGTCTCCTCTGCGGGACTGCGGCTCTCATCCCTGCCTGGGACATACGTGCTCTCGCTGCTAAAGTCTCCCTTTGGGCCAGACCTGCTCCTACACGCCCAGGACCCCACCTGGACCCCCCGAGCTCCCGCTGTCTGGGACCCGAGCTTGGGCCTCCCGAGCTCCTGCCGCCTATGATCCCTGCCTGGACCTCATTGACGATGGACCCCTAGGATCCCCGATGGACCCTCAGCTGCTTCCCATGCCTGGGACCCTCCCCTGCGTCACACTTGTTCCCGAGGACTCTGGTCCTTGTCTGGGCTGAACGGGCCCATCCTTGGCTCTGCACCCCAGACTGTAATGAGGGTCCGTTGAGTCGATGGGCCCCCTCTGTGCCTCACCTGGGTGTAACTGGCTAGGATGTGGGCCCGTTCCAAGGCCATCAGGATCTCCAGGTCCTGGTTCATGGTGCTGCCAACCGAAAACATCCCGAGGGGACCCTGCATGAGAGCCTCCAGGGAACCAAGGCGTGTGCTCCCAGCGGGCAGATCCCCAGTCTGTCGGAGCCCAGAGTGGAGAGAACCCTGGGGCTCCAAGGGCCCTGCTGGGTCGACAGATCCCACGCGGGCACTGCCTCCCCGGGGCCCTCCTACCTCCAGACTCCCTTCCCAGCCACCGTCCCCAGCACGTGGTCACACTGAGAGCACAGTCCCTCCACCCCGTACCCAGGAGCACACGGGGGTCCGGGAGTCTCTGGGGAACTGCTGACCTGATGCCTGGGGTGGCGTCCCCGAGCCCGGGGCTGGCAGTGCGAGGCTGGATGGAACGGCCGGCCAGCGAGCGTCCCTGCGGGCTTCGGGGGGATCGAAGGTGACTCTGAGATGTGACAAGCTCACGCGACAACAGGGAAAAGCCCGTGAGCGGGATGTCCCCCACGTGAACACATGCCAGCAAGAGTCTGAATGGGCTCGCCAGCCGGGAGCCTGGGGTTTGGGAATTGCCGGAGGAGGGGCGGAGGGGAGAGCAGGAGGGACGTGGTGGTCCCTGGAGGGGAGGGGCGTGCGGGCTCCCTGCCCAGGAGGCTGGGACCCGGGCGGCAGCGGGGGCAGCCCGCCCTCCACGGGGCCGTGGAAAGGCTGCCTGCTCCGGCTCACGGTCAGCGCTCAGCGGCCCGAAGGCAGCAGCTCACACTCACTGGTGACCTGTCGCTGCGGGAGCCACGCCTGTGGTCTCCACGGGGCTCGTGGGGGGAGCGAGTCGTGAAGGTGTGGCAGAGCCGGGAACAGAGAGCGCGAGCGTCTCCAGCTGCCTGTGGACTCAGAGCAGAGTGCGCGCCCGGCAGCGGCGGAACCCTGGGCGCCAGCGTTCCGTCCACAGTGGGTCCCGGGTCATCCGTGTGGGCCAGCGGGCTTCTGTCTGCACTGAGCCCTTCCCCCTGCGGCTCTCACTCCCCGGCAGGGTCTTGGTGCCACGCACGGTGGGAAGGGGAGGCTTGGCGCCCTCCCACCATCCTGAGCTCCTATGCGGCGGCCCTCGGGGCAACCCTCTGCTTCGTCGACAGTGTCACAAATGTCCTCCCAACCCATGGGTTGCCAGCGTGCGTTGTGTCCTCGAGCACACTGGAGGGGCGCCTGGGGGGCTTGGTCGGGTGACGGTCCGCCTCTCCATGTTGGCTCACGTCATGATCTCACGGGTGGAGAGATGGACCCTGTCCTGGGTCCTGGACGCCGCTGGGAGTCTGCCTCAGGCTCTCTCTCCCTCTCCCTCTGACCCTCCTTCCACCTCTGCTCTCTCTCTCTCTCTCTCTCTCTCTCAAGTAACTAAGAAATAAGTGGTTTTAAATACACATTGGAGACCATGGGAGGAATGGTTCTCATGGCTGCAGAGGTGCCGGCCTCCTTGGAACGGCTGCCTCCTTGCCTTCCACGGACCCACGAGGATTTCTCCAGGAAGCCCCTGGTCGTTCATGTCTACTGTGCTGTTGTCAACACGCCATGGTACACGCGTTTCAGGAGTGCCACTCAGCGATTTGACGGCTGTCCCCATTCATCAGTGCTCTGCAGGAGAAGTGTCTTCCCCCTCTGTCCCTGTACCAAGTTCTGACAGTCCCGGTACGAGGGACCCCATTCCCTACACTCGCTGTTCAGGCTTCTGGGACCTCTTGATCGTAGCACTGGAAGTTTACAGCTCTCAAGAGTCTTCACGTCTCCTGCCCACCCTGCACCCACGTTCCCTCCAGCAAACCCACCAGTGCCATGCCCCCGGCTCACAAGAGAAAGGATCCAAGTCGTGTGAGCATCTCAATGATGCACAGAGAGCCTGGACCAAAGACAGCCTCCATTCTTGGTAAAAACTCTCCACAGTGGTGGGACAGAGGGAACATACCTCAATATCCGAAAAGCTGTCTAGGAGACCCCACAGCGAGTACCACTCCAATGGAGGGAAACTGAGAGCTTTTCCCCTAAGGCCAGGAGCACGGCAGGGATGTCCACTCTCAACCTCGGCTGTATCGCAGAGCACGACAAGCCCTACCCTCAGCAGTCAGACAACAGAAAGAAATTCAAAGCATGCGAATTGGAAAAGAAGACGTCAAACTGTTACTCCTCACAGATGAGATCCTCTTCTTGGATACTTTCTGAGGACAACCCTAAAGTCTCCACCCCAAGATGGCTAGAACTCATCCAGGAATTGAAAAAGTCATAGGATATACGTTCAATGCACAGAAGTCAGTCACTTTTCTCTGTGCTAACAATGAGAGGAAAGGGAAATGAAGGAATCGATTCCACTACGATAACACCAAAACCCAGAAGATACCGAGGAATCAACCCAAGCAAGAGGTAAAGGATGGCTCTTCTGAAAACAACAAAACACGTGTGAAGGACATTGAGGAAGTCACCAAGAAGGAGAACAATATTCCATGCTCGTGGATAGGAAGAAACAATATCATTAAAATGTCTACACTGCCCAGAGCATTCTCCACACTCAATGGAATCCCTCTCAGTGTGCCTTGGCATGTTTCACAGAGCCGGAGCATGCAAACCTAGTGTTTCTCGGGAATAAGGAAAAAAACCCGAATACTTAAAGGGAGCTGGAAAAAAATACCAAGCTGCTGGCATCCTTCTGGATTTCCAGATCTAGTCACAGCCATCATCGTCAAGACAGTATGGGACCAGCACCAAACAGACACAGAGTTCACCAGAACGGAATAGAGAACCCCAAAATGGACCCTCAACTCTATGGTCTGGTCGTCTTCGACCAAACAGGCAAGAACAGTCAATGGAGAAACACAGTCTCTTCAGTAACTGATGTTGGGAACTTTGGAGAGCCACATGCAGAAGAGGGAACCTGGACCGCTTTCTGGCACCACACCCAGATATGGACTCAGTAGGGCTGAAAGACCTCCCTGTGACACAGGAACCCAACCACACCCCAGAGGAGCACGCGGGCGGCCACTGCTCAGACCTCAGTCTCAGCAGCTGGTTCTCAGACACGTCTCCAAAGGCAATGGAAACAAAAGCAAACAGGAACTATAGGGACTTTGTCAGCTTCAACAGCTTTTGCCCAGCAATGGAAACAGTTGAAAGAGCCAAGGACAGTGTCCTGAATGGGAGAAGACATTGGCAAATTTCTGATCAGGATGCGCTAGTACCCAAACTCTATAAAGAACTTACTAAACTCCACCCCACCCCAAACGGAATCCAGTCAAGCAATGGACAAAAGACAATGATATGGGAAAACTGGACTCTCAGATGCCGACCAAACCTGGGAGGGAATTCCTGTCCCTGTCGCACAGCCCTCCCGGTTCTTCTTTCCAACCCCATCGGCCTCACGTGCCCAAAGTTCCACAGATGGGGAAGTAGAAGGGTAGCACTTACCCTCCCCACTGGTGCTCGGGTCCAGACCTTTAGAGATTGCTGTCCTCTGAGCCTGCTGGCGTTAAATAAAGCTCCGATCCTCCAGGGTCCCCGAGTGCTGCTTGGTTCCTGCATCAGGCCCCCGTCCAGGGTCCATGACATTGGGTTCCCTGACCCGGAAACCCAACTGCGCTGGCACATTGTTGTCCCCGGTTTGGGGGCAATGGCGTGGCAGTGGCAGAACGAGGGATCCTCATGGAGAAGGCGCGCCCTGCCTAATCATCAACAGTCTCCCTCGGTGGCCCTGCTCCCCTGTACCTGCCCGATTCCAAGGACATTTGGCAGGTGAGGACCTGGTCATGACGTTGGTTTCCAGGAAGGCCTGGGGCCGCAGGACCCAGCCAAGCCCACCCGTCAGGGAAGAAGGGAAACGGATCACCTCCCAGAGACCTTTTAGCGGTCTCAAAGGTAGGGACTCCCAGGAGGGATGTCGCTCAGGAGAGGAAAACCCCAAAAGGGGGGACAGGAATTAATTTCCACACGGCAAGGAATTCCACAGGACGGGGCCTCCCCCGGGGGAGGAACTGGAGGAACTTCAGCAGGGACTGCGACAGGGAATGGGCAGTGTGTGACCGGCCCGTCAGGCGGGCTGGTTCGGTAGTTCTACAGGCGGCCACCCTTAGAGTCCCCAGAAGCCATGGAGTCCGAGTGCGTCTTAACTTGTTTCTGGGGTGACCTCATGAGGTCTACGGTGAGCCCTTGGGGGGGTGCCGGTCTGGGGTTTCTATGGCCTCGTTACAGCTCAGGGGAAGCCACATCTCCTATGGGAGAGCGGACAGGCGAGCATCTGGCTGGACTCTCCGTGGGAGAGACACCACCCTTTCTCTGTCTCCGTGCCACCGAACACGGAAAGCCTCAGCACAGCATCTGGGCAGAGGAAACCTACAGTCTTGGGAACCATGATCAAGAGTTTCAGGAAGGGGTTTTCGGGAGACTATGGAGTTAAGAGGCGTCCCAGCAAGTTGAGAACTTTATGTGGGTGAGAATGGCCTACCTTTGAGGTCAGATGCCTTCAGAAGGGCCATCAGATGTCCCATCAGTCCGGCGAGGAGGGCGACGTGGAACCAGGGGCCCAGGACACCTGGATAGACATTGCCCAGACCCTTTCCCCTTGAGTGCGGTTCACTTACAAGAGGCAGCAACAGGCTAGGGTCTTAGTCACCTCATCTAAGTGACCCAAAGAGAACCGACAGAAGTCCCTGCCTCTGCAGGTCTTAGCCAGAGATCCTGAGGGTAAATCGATCTTGCTCCCTCTGTACATATACCCCCAAGACCATGTGCATCCAACCCACCAGGTCCAGACTCTCCACCGCCACCATTCTCTCCAACACCCTCGGGTCCAGAGAGCCCACCTCTGCCCCTAGGCTCAAAGGATCCATGTTCCCCAGGACCGGTGGCCAGACTGCGCCCCCGGCCAGGCGCAAGCCCCCTCCAGATGCCAGTGCGGGAGACACAGGAACCTGAAAGACGGGATGAAGACAGGACGGTCCAACCCGGCCATTCCATGATATACTCTCAGGCTTTCTCCACCACCGACATCCTCCACAGAAAGCA